CCTTCCGCTCTCTCTAAAAGAGTCGATGGAAAAATATCCTCGAGTGAAGATTAACGACAACAACAAAAATTAGTTGGGGCCCTTCTTTCCCCCCCGAGTCTTTTTCTTCCGTTACAGGCTACATTCGGCGTCATTCCGTGCTGGCGTGGCCGGGACTCCTGAATGAGCTTTCTTCCCCGAATCCTTAGCGCATCCCGTGTGTCACACGTCCCCTCCCGAGCGTCGCTAAACTGAACGTGTCTCTTTCTCTCCAAGCTGATGACCAAACACCCGGGCAAGCGTCTGGGCTGCGGGCCCGAAGGCGAGCGCGACATCAGGGAGCACGCGTTCTTCCGCTACATCGACTGGGAGAAGCTGGAGCGCAAAGAGATTCAGCCCCCGTACAAGCCCAAAGCCGTAAGTAGCCGTCCTGCGCTGTCCCTCGCCGGCACCGCGTCCTCACCACCGCGGCCAGGGGCTCGCGCCGTTCCTGTGCCCAGTCGCGGGCACGAAAGCGGAGACTTCCACTCGCGCAGCCCGGCCTCTGCGCCTGGGGGAGACGGCGGAGGTCGAGCGTCCGTTCTGTGGGTTCGGCAGCGGTGACGGTCCTTGCCGGCAGCTTTGGGGAGCGGTGCTCCGGTGAGCGGCGTTTGGGCCTCTCCGACCGAGGGAAAGAACCTAAGTTTTCCTTGTTCTTCCCTCGGTTTGATGGTGTCACGTTCTCTTCATACTGACACTGAAAAGGTCAACAGTATTTAAATTTAACTCTGAATCATACACCATGTCTCGGTCGGTAAATAAGAGGCTCCCCATGAAGGGAAGGAAATGAAACAAGCCGGCCGCTCGCAGACCCCGGAGGCCCTGGGGCAGCTCCGTGGCGCGGTGGCCTCTGTACCTGGGAATGAGGGTCTCCGGTGGCGCGGTGGCCTCTGTACCTGGGAATGAGGGTCTCCGATGGCGCGGTGGCCTCTATACCTGGGAATGAGGGTCTCCACCTCCCATCCCGGTCCCCGGAGACGCCGCAGGGAGGGCTTGTCAGCTCCCAAATAACCAGGCCGGGGGTTCTGCTGGGAGGATATTGCGGCTCTATTACAGGTTCGAAAACTGCCCACTGAGGCTACAAAGTGAACCTAACATTGTCATAGAAACCGGAAGGTATAAGGGACTCGGTGCGAAGAAAATGACCATGATAATGGCACAGGTTTGTATTGTTACTATTATTAATTTCTTGGCCACTAACTCTGTGCCAGGAATCGTACTAAGTACTTCACAGGTAGCATCTGATTAAGCCTCAGGTGTGTGTGTGTGTGGGGGGGGTTAGCCTGCTACTCCTGGTAATAGCAGCGGAAATGGAGACTCTGCCCCAGCCCCTCAGCCCAGTGTGCCGGAGCCAGGATCCAGACGGTCCGACCGGGAGAGGCACCGGAATGCCCGGGGCAAAGACTCCCGGTGACCCTGCCATCTCCCCAGGCCTGCCCATCCCTGTTTCCACATGGGAGCTCCCTGGTCTTAGGAGGTCGGCCCCTTAGGCGGCCAGTCCCCCTGTGTGGACCTTCTAATTGCTGCGGACTTAGATGTTGACATCAAATCAGCCTCCCAGAACCGCCGCCCTTGGGTCCTGCGCTGTCCCCCAGAGCCTCTGTCTCTACAGCATCCTCCAGACATTGCAGATGCTGGTGTTCAGCTGCCGAATCTTGGGATTTCCAGGCTAACCCCCCCACACACACACCTGCCAGCTTGTTCCCTATGACGTCACCTCCAGGCGCCTGTTGTCCTCCAGGTAATCAACATCCATCTAAAGTGTGGACACAGGGTTGAGCTCAATATTCCTAATAGTGTCTGACTCTCAGTTAACACAGTGGGTCCAACAAGCAGCCTCTTGACTATCTAGCGACGGTGGACGGATGAGCCAGGCCCCTCTGCTCCTGTTCCATCTTCTGTAGCAGCGATAGTGATGGTTTCCCACGAGAAGACTGTTGTGGTACAGGAGAGCTGGTAATGATTTTTAATGTCCCCGGTGCAGCGTCTCTGAGGGGCACAGCGTCTCTGAGGGGCACAGAGTCTCTGAGGGGCACAGCGTCTGTGAGGGGCACAGGGTCAGTCCTGCTGACCCAGTGACTTTGGGTTTCAGACTGTGGGTGTAAGCAGTGGTTTTCCGAGTGTGGCCACCCGACCAGCAGTATCAGCATCACCTGGGGACACCAGCAAGTCTGCGGCAGGGCCTCTATGGGGTCTGCTGCAGGCTCTGGCTGTCAATGCTGCTGAGTGTGGCACAAAAGCTGAGGCCAGGGAGCCAGGCAGAGGCCGGAGGAGTGTGGCCAGGAAAAAATCTCCTCGAGAGAAAGATGCTGCTTCTCGCCCAGTCTGCGTGAGGGGTGGTGGCTTCCAGGAACAGGCCACAGACTCACTGCCTACGAGGCCAGGCAGGCAGTGGAACTGAGGGACCAGGACGTGGGGGACAGAGGCTGAGTGGGGGGACAGGCTGACCAAGAGCCGACAAGCTAGCTAAAGGGCTCAGTGGGTATTCATTCCCAGCTGGTCGGTGGGAAGGTTCTGTGGGCCAGTATTTTCATATTATCCGGGACAACAGCAGCTACCTTTTTCTGGGCACCTTTGGTGAGCCAGGCACTGGGCTGGCCAGGTTTGCTCTGCGGGGAGCCAGGCACTGCACCACTCTGTCCTCATCAGGATTTTTATGTGAAATCTCACTATTTTGTGATATATTGGCAGCAAATTTTTAAAAATTAAACACAATTCAGGCCAAATAAAACCCTCCCATGAGCCATAAGTGGCCATGACTGTCGTGTGCGGCCTTGGGCCGTGACTCAGTCGGGCTGACGTTCGGCCAGCTCCCTTAGTTCCCCTTGTTTACAGCCAGGGCCCGTCCTGCCTGGCCCGCTGTGTGGACTATTCCTGCTAAGCAGCAATGACTGCAGAAGGCCGAGCCCGGCCTCTGCTCATGGAGGTGCTTGGAAAGGGAAAGGCGGCTGTTCTTATGGGCAATAAAAACGTTACCCTAGCCAGTGATGGCCAGAGGATCCTTCCCCGGCTGTGCACTTGATGTGGTTTTCAGCCAGCAGTGTCTTAAATTCCCTGGCGTGGGCCTAACAGTGGCTTTCGAAGTACAGTGACTGGACGGCTGTGTACTTTCCGATGTCCTCCCACCAGCCCCGAGGGAGGACAGCACTGCCCTCGACGTCCTTAGACTGAATTAGAAATAGTGGTAATGATGCGCCACCGCTCACCTGGTGCAGCCTGAGCGCCTGCCTTTCACGTATCGGACGCCAGCCTGAGCCCCCTGAGGATTTCACGCGTCCCCTCCCCACACCTCCCGAGGGGCTCAGGCGAGTGCCCGCAGAGCCCGCGCCTCCTGGGGTGCACGCATTCACGCACCTGCCGGTGCTCCTGGTCCACGCTCGCTGTTAGGTAGAAAGCGGCGAGGCAGCCGTGGGCGTAGCGAGTGTTTCACCGTCAGTGGAGGCGCTGTGACTGCAGCTCATTAGAACGATGTTAAGTTGTCTCGCTGCTGCCTTCCTGGTGGCCAGGGGCTGTCAGTGTCGCCCGCGGCGCTGGGACATGCTCGCTTCAGTGCTGTTTCAGGGTGCAGGCTAATTTCTGTAATGTGCACCCGGTGTGTCATTCTCTCGGTTCAAGCCCCCCACGGCTCCCTGCTGCCCCAGAATGACGTCGAGCCTGTGCCCTCCCCTCTTGCGCCGCCTCAGCTCTCCTTCCTGGCTTGTCCACGCAGAGCCACCCCGGGCGGCAGAGCCCTTCCCGCCACCCACCCTCCGGCCTTGCCCCTTTCCGCCGTGGAGTGAGCGGAGCGCCGCCCTCTCGGGGCTCCTCGGTTCGAGGGGGATCCTGCGCCAGCGTCCTGTCGGCAAGCTCATGGCGTGTGGGGCGATTCCTCGTTCAACGTCACGTGTGCCTTTTTGACGAGACTGAGGGATGGTGACGGTCCTTCCATAAGGCTCAGCACATACAGAGACTTAACAGCTCTGCTGAGTAAACGCACGAGGTAGTGCCTGGCTCCAGGCCGAGATGCCCAGCGTGGCTGCTGGGCACTGAGGGGCTCTGCGGGCTCGGAAGTGGAGGCGGTGTTTTCTCAAGCGCGGCGGGGCCGGTGTCTCAAATGAAATGGCTGCTGTGGCACCTCCTCCCCACTCACCAGGGCCGTGATGTGGGTGCTGAACCGCGTCTGCCCTGGCGTCCTGTGGGGGTGCTGTGTGTACCGGTTGGTGCCGGCGAAGGACCCGGGGGTGCGGTGCATGGAGGCTTGGATTCTGCACGGAGAAGGCCGTGACTTCTGCCATGTGTCATTGCCCAGGCCAGTGCCACAGGGGCCACGACGGAGCCCAGCAGAGCTTCTGAGTCTGTGCATGTGCGCCCCTGATGTCTGATTAAGAGGAGGACTCGGATTCACCTGGCCTGGGGTCCAGCCCGCGAGCCCGCATGGCTGACGCTGGGTGAGAGGATGCCGCTGGCCGCAGTCCTGGAGGGTGGTTCTGCAGGGCGGGGCGGCTGGGAGTTGGAGGGCAGATCCTGTTGTTGACAGTGCACCGTGTTTGCGGTGGGGGCTGTGCTGAAGGATGACGGCTTCAGTTCAGATGTCCGTGCCGGTGCACGAGGTCCGATGCATGGAGCACGGCGGGTTGTCTCGGGTGCTTGGCGGGAGGTGCTAGCTTGTGAGCCGAAGGGCGGAGTATGTGGCTGAGTGCGTGGTGGGCGGTGTTTATGGAGGTTAGGTGCTGGCCTGGGTGCTGGAGACATAGCAATAAATACAGTAAAAGTCTCTGGTGGACCTTATATTTTAGAGGGAGCGGGGAAATAATAAACATAGAAACCAAAGAATATGTTAGAAGTCAGTAAGCGTTGTGGAGGGACGGGGTTGGGGAGAGCTGGGCCGGGGGAGGTCAGGGTTAAGCAGGGTGGGTGGAAAGCGCACTGAGAAAGGGATGTGTCAGCCAGGATGGGAAGGGGTGCGGGAGGGAGGGAGCCCTGCGTACCTCTGGGAGGTGGGGCGGGGCTCAGGTGGTAGCAACAGGTGCGAAGACCTCAGGGCAGGAGCTCACCGCACGTTCAGGGACATCCAAGAGCCCAGGTGGCTAAGCTGAGTGTCGATAGAGACTAAAGGAGATGAGCTCAGAGCGGCCGTGGAGGGGCAGATGGTCGAGGCCACTGTGGGGTCTTTGGCTTCTACTCCAGCAAGAGGAGTGGCCATCGGAGGGCTGTGGCATTGGAGGGCTGTGAACAGGAAAACAGCCGGTTCTGACTTTGGGTTTTAAAGATAGCTCGGACTTTAGATGCATGGGTGAGACAGGAGGCGGCTGTGAGGCTCTTGCAATACCCCAGGCGCTTGGACAGGACAGAGCTGCTAGAGAGCCTCGGGCGTGTTCGTCTTGGCCTCCCAGCCCTGC